AATTAATTTTATATGGCTAAAGAGAAAATTTTTCTTGGAAAAAACAATTCTTTTAATGAATCTTTGAAAATTTTGACATCAATGATACATTTGAAGATGGGTTCTTTTTCCAAGAAACTTCTAGATCTTCACCTGAAATAGAAAACTCAAAAATATTCTTACATTATAAAGGCCAACACTCTATGTTACCATCTCAAGAAATTCAAAAAAAAAATGGATTTGTCAAAAAACAATTCACAAAGAACTTGGTAAACCAGCATAATTGCATGTGGAAAAAATAATAATAGTTTTCGTATCGCTGTACAATAATATAAGATAACATCACGTTGGTACAGTGATAATTTTTTGATCAGAGAATATCGCTGTATTGTATCGCTATAATAAAGATAATAAAGCTATCTCGTAAAATCTTAATTTGTAAGAGTATACAATCCCGCAAAATCATCTTTTTAAACACTTCTAAATTCTTTTTGGAATACTGTCACATATTGTTACACTGTATTTTAATTACAGTAGAATTTTTGTGAGGTCATATATAATTAAATTCTTTTACAACTATACTATTTTATATGTAATACATATTATGAGTATAGTATACAAGTTTTTATATACTCAAATGTGATTTTTGTAGCATACTCCACTACTTTATTAAACCATACCCTACTACTATTCATAATACCGGTCTAACATCAATATATCATAAAATTATTGGGTCCGATAGCACACTGTGAACTGCGCATTATTAACAAATAAACTATACTCCACATTGTATGTGGACTCAATTGTGAAAACATATCATCTTAGGGCAGGGACGACTAAATTCTGCGTGTGATTAAGACAAATTCTGTGATTTAATGTGGTTAATTTTTAAAATTTTACCAATTTCTGTGAAATTCTGTAATACCATTTTGTAATTTGACAATTTTTTAAAAATTTTTTCCAAATTGTAATTCCGCTTGTAATTTGTGTTGATGTATTGTCTATCTTTCCAGGACTTTTTATGCGATATCTTAGAATTCTGTGATATTCTGCGCTACTTTATTAGAATTCTGTGACATTCTGTAGTGACTAAGAGTATTTTCTGTGGTTAGCTGTTTTTCTGCTGTTTTCTGTGATTACAGTAAATCATCGTCCCTGTATTAGAGTTGTGAGCTTTAGCGATAAGTTGGAGTTTCTTATATGTAAAATTTCATTTCTATTAATTTTTATTAGTTCACAAAGGTCAATTTAAACACTAGTTTTTAAATATTTTCGCTTTCTTTGCTTTTTTTCTTCTTTCACACGTGTTTGGATTCTACGTTGAGCCTATGCAAATAAGTGAATACCTAAATTCGTGCTGACTTTATTAACAAACTATATATTTCTGAAAATTTCTGACCAACATGTTTGTAATTCATGTTCATTAGTGTCCACCTTTCTGAGAGTTACCAATACCAGGCTAAATTAAATCATCCTACTTTAATATTATTCACTATTTTCTGTGATATTCTGTGGTGATATAAACGTATTCTGTGATATAAACCTAGTGTTCCTTATTTATTAACTTGACTAAGTCGATATTTAAAATTCAGCTTAGCTAGCTAAGTCAAAGTTGATTAATATTTTTTACCTTGAAATTTATCAGATTTTGTCACAACCTTGCTCATATTTTATGTTTATTAATTTTCTTCTCGGAATTATTTGGTCCTTACTATGTAATAAAAGAGATAATATATCAAATTTGATTGGTTACTTTAATATAATCAAATATAATCTGACATAAAATCAACTAAGCCAATTTTTTGGAAAATCAGCTGCTAAGTTAATAAAAATCAACTATATGAATCAACTACAAACACTATATAAACCTATTTCTATAAATTCTTGTGAAATACAAAAAAATCATCATCTCTACTCTTTAGGATGTCTGGCATAGTAGCAAAGGCATGCCAAAAACAAATTTGGCATGCTATTGAGTATAGTATAAAAATTAGACTTATAATATTCAAACTATAAATATGATATACAGGTCGAAAGATAAAAAATCGGGTATCTGATTTGTGCCTGATTTTTTATCTTTCGACCTGTGATATTATAAATAATATATACAGTATATAATATTTAGAGAGAGATTATTAGATTTTGAAAATATAAAATATTAGATTAATATTGTGAAACACTGCCTGCATAATGCATATACATCTTTAGCTATGGCGCAAATTTTAACAAAAGGCATGCTCTGTGATATGCTAATTTTTTTGGTGTGCTAGACACCCTACTGCTCTTAGATATATCTACCATATATGGAAATTGGATAATACAATACGATTTAGATGCAATAGCACTAACTGCTTGAGTTCTAGATACTATAAACAAGTCATATATATATCTTGAAGTTTTTTTTTTGAGTTTTTTTTGAGTATTTATTGAGTTTTTTTGGGTTTTATCCTATTTTCTTTATCTGTTTTTTAGGTTTTCTTTTTTATTTTTTGCTATTTCTTATTTTTTTCAAGTTTTTATTTTTTTATATTTCCTTACCTCTCTTATATTAAATCAAGTAGTATATATAGTAAACAAGGCTTTGCTATACTACAATATAGTATCAAACTTTATATTATAGAGATCTTTAATCTATTTAGCTAAAATTTAGGTCTGAAGTAAACTAGCTTTATTTCTACTTCCCCAAACAAATATGTAACTATTGCATATTAAATAATAAAAGAACTAAGAAAAGGATTTTTTTTAAAAAATAAAAAATAGAAAAAATTTAGCAAATTTGATTAAATAGTTGCTAAAATATTTTAATTTAAAATTAAAAAAAATTTACTAAAAATAATTTGTTTTTTTCTATTAACTCCACCTTATGCTTTTTAAATTGTCCATTTTTAGTAAGTAAATTTGGCTACTAAAATTTTTAAGAAATTTATAAACTTTGCTTCTGATTTATCTTTGTTAAAAATCAAATTAAACTATACAAGGTTAATTTTTGGTTTGACAATCTGGCTTTTAAAAAATGAATTAACTCTTAATAACTAATATTACAATTAAAAGAATAAATTACAACAATTTAATCTTGTTATAAAGAACTTAGACCTAATTTATACTTAATTCAAATTCAAATCTAATTAGGACTACGTTGTTATGATACTTATAACACGATGACATTAATTTGACGTATCTATGCATCTTGGAGTTTCTGCAATCAGTAATCGTAACACTGATAGGGACTTATTAATTACTCAGGTGTATCAGTCTAAACCGGATTGAACCGTGCTCTGATTTAAATATGATGTGGGTTACATTACACAAATTCGAGAAAATTTTCGTAGAGCTGTGTAAATTATCGAAGTAGATGAGTTGAAAAAAGGAATAGGTAGACAAATAGGTAGGCAATTTTATACCCTTTCAAATACCTGGTACTACAATTTCCAATTGTTTCTGCTCGACAAAAGTAAGGATTGTTAATAGGATTGATAAAAAGTACGTACGTACGTACAGTACGTATAATTCGTTCATAATGTTTATTCCGGAATGCAGATTATGATGAATGGCGTAGCTTTATTCGGGCATGTGGCAATATGAACTTTTCAGGTGCAGTGAAGATTTCGAAAAGCTGATCTTATCGAAATTCGGTCGATTACAGGCAAGCATTTCGGATTACTAGATAAATCTGGATACGTATTTCAAGTGTATTATTGCGGATTAGATCTTTAATATCCTTAAAGATCTAAGTCATTTTCCTAAAATATTAAATTAAACGGAATTTAAGTAAATTTATCTGTTTATATTAAAAGTATGAAAAAAAATTTTTGCTAAAATGGATAACGACAGATAGAAATAATCGACAATTCTAGGGAAAAACAACAAAAAAAGCAAGCACTTAAGGATAGAGATTACAAAATCTATATGCTCTACGTGTTTGAGGCCAGAAAAAACCTAAAGTTTGAAAGGAATTTTGTTAAGACCTACGCTCTACCTAAAATTTATCACGTGATATTATAATAATCGACACACTTTTTTCATTATATACATATGCTTAAATATATATCAAGTTTATCTAGTGAAACATAAATAAAGTGTTTTGCATGTGTTTTCACAGGAAAATCATAAAATGTATAATCATTTGATTCTTTTTTTTTTCACAATGAAACTTGAAAATTTTGATGGAAAGATTTCCTTCTTAATGATTACTTTATTTATTCAAGTCAGCATGCTTATCAGAACCTTCTCCTATAAAACGGTTCGTGTGATCGGGACCACTTATTCACAATTGCCAAAAACAATTCGAGTGACATAGGCGACCTTTTTCATTTTTTTATATAAAACGCCAAGTTGGAAAAATACCCCTCAATACCCTGCGAAAAAAAAATTTTTTATATCCTTATTTGATTTTTTCACGGTATTCAGAAGCAATCTTGTAATCATGACTACTTCTCCAACTCTCGCAACCAAAACTATGCCCAAAGAAGGTCCATTATACTCCATCCTCTGACCATAATTTACTTTTTATATTTTCTAATTCTTCCTTTCGTTTACTTTTCTAGATCGTTTACCATCTAAAAATATCATTAGTGACTACGAAACTAGTCAGATACTTAGCACAAACTTTGGTGCTATGGTGACGAGTTACTCCATGAACAACACGGACCAACCTGGCAAAGGTCTAGTACACTACATCATGAACCCTCGTGAACTTCGAGAAGATCATCCAGTTTGGCATTATTTCTATCTTTGTACGCTAATATTCGTGGCATTTGTTTCGCTATTTATTGGTCCTGTGATTTTTGGTATGCTGGCAGCCATTGGTGGCATTGGTACCCCTTTGGCATTGAGTTTTTTCGGTAGTGCAGTGGGATTGATTTTAGGAGTTGTTTTTGGAGTCGTATTTTCAGTTGTATGCATTGTTGCGCTTGTCAGGATACTTGGATTGAGTGCTGAATGGGTTTTGGATACACTTTGGTATGGAGGAAATGATTTGTTGGAAATTAGCAGGCAACAAGTTCTTGCGTTGCTTAACATTCCCGACAACAGCCGCCATAATAATAATCGTCATCACCAGCATCAGCATTAATCTTTTTGTTAAAATTGAAAAATTTCTCAGTGTATTTATAAAGCTTGCCTGTAGTTTTTTTTTTTTTTTTGTACAAATAAAGCTATCATGTACTAGACTGGTCTAGTATTATCGAAAGTATTATATTTTAATAGATAAATACTACGGTTGGATTGAACATGCTATAAATATCCGAGTGTTTATGATAATCAACTAAGGTTTGGAGATACTTTTCAGGTGCAAAATCGTAGGTTTCTTGTATGTGCCTCGGGCACTTTTTTTATTTAGACGATGGCCTAAAGAAGTTTAAAATTTTTTGTATACAATCCCTTATCTAAGTTATTATCAAAACTTCTTGATAGTAAAATTATTCAATTAATTTTTTCTTTACACTATTGTTTCGTATATGTAGAGACATTTAGAGATTTTACTCCTATGATACTATTGCATTTAATTATCTTGGTTTCTGCTTTGGCTACTTTACTCTTAGAACATCAAAGGAGTTGGCACAGCTTTTACTTTCATTTATAGTGAGGCGTGTGCTCCAGTCTAGCTTACATAAATTTAATCTATAAAGTTACAAATCTTGTTTATAAAAATTATTTATAAATATATTATCTAATGCCCTTTAAATTACTTAGAATATTTATTTATCATTAGCTAATACCTTTTATATAATTGCATTTATTTAGTCTGGAATCAATTATGTTTACAAATCATATTCTATTCATACCTTCCATGCAAATTAAAGTTATTTGAACTTTGAGCGAAGATATCTCGACAACCACCAAGTTAAATTCGATAAACTTTTTTATTTGAATTCTATGCATTTGCATAATTCAAATAAAAAAAAGTTCATTGAAACTTGCCTGGTGGTTGCCGAGATATCTTCACTCAAAGTCTTAAAAAACTCAAAACGTCTATCAAAATTCAATTTTTTTTATTCTTTGAGCGAAGATATCTCAGTAACAATAAAACCAGATTTGATAAAGTTTTTTTTATTTGAATTCTACAAATCTGTAGGATTCAAATAAAAAAAAGTTCATCGAATTTGACCCAGTGGTTGTTAAGATACCTTCGTTGAGGTTGAGTTTTTTAAAAATTTGAACGAAGATATCTTGACAATCACCAAGCCAAATTCAAAAAAAATTTTTTATTTGAATTCTACAGATTCTTAGAAATCAGATAAAAAAAGCTCATTGAATTTGGTTTGGTGAGTGTCAATATATCTTCGTTCAAGGAATAAAAAAATTAAGTTTTGATAGATGTTTTGAGTTTAAGACTTTGAGTGAAGATATCTCAGCAACCACCAGGAAAATTTCAATGAACTTTTTTATTTGAATTCTACGAATGCATAGAATTCAAATAAAAAAGTTTATCGAATTTAACTTGGTGGTTGTTGAGATATCTTCACTAAAGTTCAAAAAACTTTAATTTACATGGGAGAAATGAATAGCAAATTTGGACAATTTCCTATTTATTTTTTATTTTTTTTTTTAATATTGAGGTGACCACTTAGGTCCCTGGCACTTTATTAGTTCAAACGGGTGGGCCGTCTGAAAACTGGCTTACATATTACATCAGTATAATGAGAGTACAACTAGTCACACATACAACTTTTGGTTGCCTATTTAAGTAG